AGAGCTGAAGAGGACACCCACTGCTTCACACAGTAGCAGGAGGGACCAGCAAGCACTAGCCAGCAGAGAAGATCCTGAAACATACTGAGCTACTTGGGAAACAAATGAATGAAAGCACTTACCCCAAGTCTCAAAGAGACTGCAAGTGCAAGTACAAGTAAAGTATGGAGCTGCCGGTGCTACAGGCTCACCTGCGGGACAGTTTGAAAGTCCCTGCATTACATTATTAGGAAGCTTTTCTGAACATTTTTCCTAAAATGTAAAGTCATCATAAAGGACAGTTTCCTGCAAACAATTCCAGTTAAAAAAGCAACTGTTAAAAAATTCCCTGAGTGTCCTCAATAAACGATGGAGAAAAGCCTGATGGAGTTTGAGATAAATGATGCACATGTAGCACTGTGCGCCCACTCTCTCACGCCGATAAGTTTCCGACAAGAGACATGGGCTCCCTGTTGCATAAGCAGAAGTGTCTCAGAGGAGGCCTCGATAACTCTCATGAGAGACAGAGGGGAAAAAATATGCAAAACGGAACAAGTTTCACTTTCAAAGGAAAACAACATTTCCTCCTGGACATTTTCGGTGTCATTAACTTGAGGCAAACAGGTACATGCCATCTGTCCACAGCCAGTGCGGATGCAGGCACTCAGGCTCCACAGGCTGCTCAAGCCCACTGCAGTGACGGCGAGAGAGTTACTTGCTGAACCAATTGGGGCATTCAGAGAAACAAAGTTTTCTATAGCTAGATCCACGGAGGCTTTTTGAGCATGGTCAGCATATCTAAATCAACTGCAGGATTCCTGATGTGTTGGAAAGGGGCTTTGTTGTTGTTTGTAATGCACTTATTTACTCAAGAAAGCTCAGCTCTGATTCAGCATCTGGTTCTCATTGAGGCTCAGTTTTTTTTAAACCGAGCTTTCCAGATGGGTTGACTGAAGCACAAGGAGGTCAAGAGACTTGTCTGAGGTCATACAGCAAGTCAGTGGCTCTGCTTGGACCCGAGCCCAGAACTGTTCAAGGCTACCACTCCTTGGCTCTTAAAGAGACAATTTTATCCCCTGTGAAGTGATCTTATCACCATGAAGAAGAGATGCGATAAAAGCAGTCTCCTCAAAGCTGCAGCCTGCTTAGAAAGAGTTATTTTATTTGGAAAAAGCCATAGCGTTCCAGTGTCTCAATGAAGCAAGTCAAACCAAAGGGGTGTGATACTGATATACAGTGTCATCCACCCCACTCTTGTATAACCCCATGCTCCTATGGGGCGGCTTTACGCTGCTGCTGCCGCCATCCCTGGTTGTCTACTCCCATCCCATCTAGCAGCGCATCATGTCATGAAATACACTGTCAGTTCAACATGGGTTGAAGCCCCTTCTCAAGGCGAGGGAGCTCAAGTGCACTCAGGACCTAAAGCAGAGCCCAAACACTTGTTGCCATGGCCTGGACATGTGGGGTGCAGGCAGCGCATCCCAGCCAACCAACCAGCAGATCCCCTAAGCTCAGCTCTGTTCTCCATAACCTCAGAGTGCACTCTTTAAGCTCAGCCACAGGCTAGGCTACAGCAAACAGTTCACAGATCCCATGGCAAAGGCACACTTGCTCCAAACTAAGAAGGAGGTGGCAGGTACTGGGTTCTCCTGCAGAAAGCATGGCTTGGCTCTACCTTTGTTTTCCAGGGGCGGGGTGAGAAAAGCACAACAGAGGGAACGTTGCCAGAAGCTACACAGCCTCAGACAGGTAAGAGGTACTAAAGAGCTTGAGAAAACATAGATGGCTCTTGCATGTCATTCCGCAGAGCCCTCTGCAAACTGGATCAACCTGTAGCAGGCTCTGCTGCTTAGGAACACAGAGCGTTGCTCAAGTCCTTCCTATAATAAATTCAGCATCATAAGGAGATGAAAGCCGCAGAGTGCTAGGGAATGTTGCGTTATTGCTCTAGCACTGTTCTAAGGATGAAAAAGCCAGGTTTTAAACCACTGTATTCTGTTTAATATATTAATAGGAAATGAAACCCTGACAATGGTGTACATGCCAAAAGCAAGCATAGGTGTGGCCAACTTTCTTATTCTTATGAGATGCATACCCAAAAATCTTTTGTATAGCCAAGAACCACAGAATAAATACCACATAGCTCCGGGAGCCCAGGGAAGAGATAACAGTGACTCTCCAGGGTTCCCAGTGTGGGATGGGGTTAGACCGTGCACGCAGCTGAGTCCAATGACAACTCAGTGACGTCAGCCTCAGCAGCTATTGCCTGCTCTGTTCCTTTCTCAGCCAGGGACGTACACTAACCAGCGGCCTTTGTGTCAACACAGCCTTGCTGCTGCAGCAGCAGAATGGGAGCCATACTTGAACTGCTGGAGAATTTCGCAGAACTCAAGAGCCATGAGAGGGCAACTCTTGAGTTAGCTGGATGCACTACTCCAATACTGAAAGCCTTTCCTAACTCCCACTGAAAGGGCACATATGTTTTCTTTTCACATGTTCACAGATAAGACGTTTTGTAGACTCCAAAAAGAGGCACAGCTTGTTGAAAACCAGGCTTGCTCTCTCTCAAGACTTCACAAGACCACACTGGTGTGACTAACTTTGTGGTATTCTAAATCTGATTCAAGACACCACTCTGGAAAGTTGGTTTTGACCAAATGTTTGAGACAAGCTGGAATGGGGCATCCAAATCAGGGACTAGTTTCACAGCAAGATAAACGACAGCCCAGTTTTCCACGTCTCAGAGACTGCCCCTTCCAAACCACAACACATTGTGAACCAGTTCACGTGTCTCCAGGGGCAGACTGCTTGCTTCTTCAGCAACAGGCTGGGAAGGGTCATTGCACACAGGACAGAGGGGCTTCTGCATAGGAGATCTGTGCAAAAAGCCAAAGGAAATCCTCCATGCAGGGATGGGAGGGAAAGGATTGGGCATGACAACAAAACACTCCACGGGGAACAGTGCCTTGGACACTAATATGTGGCTCAGCACTCAGTTTTCCTGACAAACAAGAAAGAATCCCTTAACAGATCCAAATGCCAAGGCCTATCCCAGGGTCAGGCTGTGGAGAACCACTGGCTGAACTATTCCGTCCTCGGGTTAAGTTTTCGGGTTGGGTTTTTTTCCGTTTTGTTTTCAAAATTAAATGGCTGAACGGCTCTCCCCCCCTCCTTTACAACTTGTTGCTCTTCCAGTTCAAACAAAGACAGCAGAGCTCCTCCTCTGCTGGCTGCGCCGTTGTCGGGTAGCGCAGGCGGACGCTTTTGTTTACTAACTCTCCCACATGCTTGGCTGAGAGGCAGCTCGCCTGGGCCGGCAGCCCTGGCTGCGGTCCTGTGCGTGGCACTGGGAGCCCCCGCAGCACCCGCGGCGGGCAGCTCGCCACAGGCCACGGGGAAGCAAAGGGCC